AATGGGAACACACTTTGCATAAACAAGTGTAAGCATGAACTCATTATGATCTTCAGTGTCATACAGTGTCAATGTTAAATGTTGCACCATATCAATCCCTATTGTAACTTTATATCTCTCATCAACAAAGGGCCAGATTTTGTTTGAAATATTGACAAGAGCTTGTGCAAATCCAATATGCCTTCTGTACCTCTCAAGCTTCTTTGATTGTTGCATTGGCTCCATGATACCAATAAAATGAAAATGATATTGTCTTTGCATTGTAATAAGCCTTTCAAAAGCTCCTTGAGTATTAACCGATCTTATATTCCATATAAGAGCATTCATCTCTAATTAATGGATTTAGAAATAGTTCTGTTTGTTTGGACCCCAGATGGCTAAACACTAGGGATCTCTTTCACATGCTTTTGCTTCCTCTTCCTGCGGATTTTACTTTCTCCATATGCCTGGGAGATAGGTCCCCTTATCTAGCTATGTTCCAGAAGTTTTGGCAAATTGATTCTGCATCTAAATCTCTCCATTTGCCTTCAGAATTGTCCTCCCTTCCCTTTTGTTGTTCAAGTACTGTAATCTGATTTTTAGTTGGTTTAGAGATCAATGTTGTGCATGTTGTTTCTTTGTTTATCTGCTCAACATCACCTAGGCTCTTTGTACCTGTAATTCCTTCATTATTCCCTTTTAGTTCCACCTATTCCTGAGCTGGATTATTGCTCATTAATCCTGCACTTTGCTATTTCTCCCCTTCACCAAGATCTATTGGTTCTGCAATTGGTATTTTAGGGTTGGGGTTAGGGTTAAGGTTTATGATGGGGTTAGGGCTATAGGTTAATTGTTGGAATTTAGAACATGATCCTTCAATCTCAGCAAAATCACCAGTCAAATTTGTACCCTTCTCAATTATCTGAACATTGTCTTTGTTTGCATTTTCCTTAAAACTGATTTCTTCACCTTGTGGCTCATCATCTTCTTCCAGTGTTGCATTATCTTCTTCTTGATAACCTTCCGATAAATCACCCTCATCTGAATCTTTCTCTGTCCGATCACACCATAGCCTTCCACCTGACCAGTTTATTTTTTCCTTTAACATTTCCTGCTCAGCAATTGCTTCAGAATCAGTTGCATGTGGTTCTTGGTATGATTGATTCATAGTAACATTATTAGTTGCAAATGCTCTATTAACCCATTGAGCTGTAGTTTCTTTCCCATTTTACTGTTCTTTTCCAACTGCATGCATGCCTTCCTTTGTACCAGTAATCTCCTTTGATGTCCTTTTCCCAGGTGAAGTAAGGATGAAATCAGGTGCTGCAGCATTTAAGGCCTTCCTAGAAACCATAGCTGTAGGATTTGGACTTTGCACATTGTTTGAATTCACTAAGGCTAGCTGATTTACCCCATCTGTCTCACTATCCTCATCCTCCAGCATAGCAAACTTATTTGTAGTCTGAATCAGTTGAGTATTGGCAACCCCAGCTAGGACAATTTCCTTTCCTACATTACCTACTAAACAATCCTTGCCCCAACTGGAACAATTTCTTTTCCAGTTTGAGCTTGACCTTCAGTCTGCTTTGCACCCTGCCTCACACGGTTACCTCTAACTTCGTTCCACTATTCTCCAAGATTCCCAACCACTTTCCCACTAGATAGGATCATAATTGGATTCTTTGTATTATTGTGAGCATCACTTTTGGCAGCATTATTTTGTTTGTCCTTGTCATATTCCACAAATAGTTCTGGATGTAATCTCCAACAAATTTCTTCATTGTGACCTTAAATCTTGCATTCCTTGCAAATACTTAGAAATGTAGTCATATTGCACCTTCACCCACTCAGTTCTAACATTTCTAGTAACCTCATCTTCAATGTCCATCCTTACTCGTTTGGGCAGCTCATCTAACAGGTCCACCTGAACCTTAACTCTTGCACAACTTGGCCAAGTTTGGAAATCCATGCCATCACTTTAGGAGTCTCTTCACCAGGTTTGAACTTAGTGTCATAAATTAAAGGTCGCATCTGATATTCACATCCATCCTTTGCGTTCAAGTAATATGCACCTTTAGAAGTGAGATTAGCATAATCTTCGAGTAGTGTTAACCTAATTAACACATGACGATCTCTAAGTAAACCAATATTATACTCCCCTTTTACTCCACAGTGCACAGGAAGAATGCGACTATCTCTAGCAAATTTGGCCAACCATATGAAAATTTCCCCAGCACTGCATATTTAAGTCCCTCGATGATGTTCATTTTTTCCACTTCTGCTTAGGTCCACCTGATCAGGGGTTGTTCACGAAGGTATTGGATAGGTTTCATAGGAATTGGCTCAATGGTTTTTAAACTGGATGCCGCTGCATGCATGGTATTATTTAATGCAGCAGGTTTTAAGATCTTTGAATAATCCAAAGGCTGTGAATTAGGATTAGGAGGTTTTGTAGGATAAGGAGGAGGTAAACTAGGCTGGCCGCCGGCCGGCGCGGCCATGGAAGCTCTTTCTCTCTCTAGTCGCCAAGAAATCGCCTAGGATTTGCTGGAGAGCGTTTATTTTTTGCGGGTTGATGGAACCAATTGTTTAGTATGAGTAGCTAAACTCTTCATCTAGGGTTGATGGAGCCAATTGTTGGATGAAGTCTTGATTATGTTTTAATATAATTGAGTCATTTTTACTCTGTAATTGTTCAACTATGTGTTGTCTTGTGATTAATTGAAAGGGCCCTTGATTAATTGTGTCTAGTTATCTTGTGTTCCTTGAGAAAGAACACTTGATTAGATTATTGTTGAACAGCGTCACTTTCGGGTAATTTAAGAGATTAATTACTTGAATTTAAAAGCGCGTGGTTAGAGATAACGAAGCTTTGGTGTGATATTTATAAGTTGTACACATTGTCAACTAGAGTAGTTTGAGAGAATGCTTCTAGTAAATTATCGTAATTGATTGAGAGATAATTACGGTAAACAAGAACTCACAATCTTTATGGAGTGTTACGGCGAGATTATAGCTAACGTGGCAGGAATTAATCTGACAATTGGGGAAATCAATAACCCTAGATCCTTTTACCACTGAATTCAACTTCATTCTTGCTTATTGATAGTTTTTATTGTAATCTTTCCTTAGTTAAATAATTTCAGTTAATTATCAAATAAAATATTGCATCTGAAAATTGTCTGAGCTTATCATTAGCATTACTAAAAGTGCAGTAAATGGGTTAGTTCCCTGTGGTATTCGATTCCAGACTCTTGAACCGGATTATATTTGCAGCAACCGCTTAGTGATCAAATTTTGGCATCGTTGCCGAGGAGCTAACGGTGTTATTTATTACAACTTGGAGGAATTGCTAGGATTTTTAGTTTAGATCAATTTTCTGTGGTGTTAAAAGTATTTCCATTGAAATTCTCACGTTTGAACTCTTCTATGACTCAGGTGCATGCCTAGAAGCTCCTTGAGAACTGGTGAACTTTTTGAAGGACTATCAGATCCCGAGAAAGCATTCGGGACATTGAATCAGGCAAAAAAGAAGGGCAAACAGCTAAAACAAAACGACCAACTCAAAACTGAAATGGACGACGCCGAGAACGTCAACGGGAACAATAAAAATGATCGAGTTGACCCAAACATCGGAGTGGTAGCACCTCTTGTGTCGGAAGCTGCTCTTTATGATTGAGCGCAACCAACTGCTGATAACCTGGCCACCGCAATTGCTGTCCCTCAGATACAAACAGAGACATTTTAGATTACCTACAACATGCTGCACTTGTTGCAGAATAAGGGGTTGTTCTCCGGGTCGTACATCAAAGACCCACAACAACATCTGATGAACTTTCTATCAATTTGTGTCTCTCAAAGACAGCCGAATGTAACTCCTGAAGCAATTAAATTATTATTGTTCCCATTCTCAGTGTCTGGGGAGGCTCAAACTTGGCTGAATTCGCTCCCAATAAACTCCATTGCTACTTGGGAGGAACTAGTCAAGCAGTTCTTAAACAAGTTCTATCCACCCAACAAAACTGTGAGGCAAATTGATGAGATATTGAAATTCAGGCAGAAACCGACTGAGACTTTGCAAGAAACGTGGGAAAGGATTAAGATGCTAGTGAAGTGTCCACACCATAGCATCTTGGATCAGATGCTGTGACAAAGATTCTATATGGGTTTGGCTGACGGTCTGAAGGCCAATGTAGATGCTTCAGCCGGGGGTGCATTCTTGAGCAAAACATTCATAGAGTGTAAGATTCTTCTTGACAAGATGTCTCAAGATTCAGGCTGGATGACGAGAGATACAACAGTCACTCCATAGTGCATTCTGTTGCTCTTGACCCAAACAATACAAATGCAGAAAACATAGCCACTCTCATGGCCCAGATGAGCTTGCTGACAAAGAAAATTGATGAGATGGGTACGAAACAGGTGCACATTGTTGATACAACAAATGGAGGCCTATGTACTCCCTGCATAAATAAGTCATATGTTTGCTCGTGGAGTGGGAGAATGATAACCAGGGCTTCAGAGAAGACATGAATTACGTCAATAATTTTGGAGGTCAGCAGCAAGGTGGACAACAATGGGGACCTCAAAATCAGCAGTACAGACCAACCCAACAACAACACAATACCAATTCAGGGGGCACACGGCCACAAGTCCAAGTCGTGCATTATCAAAGGCAGCAGGGCTATAATTAGCAACACCAACAATAGTTGGCTTACCAACCGCCTCATCAACAGCAAGATAGTAATATGATAGAAATCAGGGGCATGCTGCAACAACTCATTGGGACAAATGGAAAGATGTAAGAAAAGTTAGTTGCACATGATTCGGCTATTAAAGGCATTGAAACTCAATTGGGACAGCTATCTATGGCCTTGAACAATCACTCACAAGGAACGTTGCCTGTAGACACAAACATCAATCCAAAGGAGCAAAACCCAAATTAGTTAATAGCAGTGAGTCTCGGGAATGGAAGGGATTTAGACAGAGAGCAAGAAGTTGCTCGATCTAGGAGAGACGCAATGCCAATTACTCTAGTGATATTAGAGTCCGACGAGTCAACGGAGCTCACAGAGGTTGTAATTGAACAAGCACAAGTTGACAAAGGCAAGGAGAAGGAAATTGAACAACTCCCAGAACAGGTGGTGGAGAAGGCTCCTAATAAAGAAAAGACACCAAGCAGTGAGAAGAAGCTAATTCCTGCACCATTCCCTCAGAGGTTGGCCAAGCAAAAGAAAGATAATGAATATAGGAAATTCATGGAAATGCTCAAACAGATTCAATTGAATATTCCACTGATGGATGCTTTGAGGGAAGTTCCAAGCTATGCAAAAATGATGAAGGATTTGATGTCTCGAAAATTTGACTTTCAGGACCTGTCTACTGTAACTCTAACTCAGACCTGCAGCGCGGTAGTGACAAGACCTATGGCTCAAAAATTGTCTAATCCCGGTAGTTTCACTATCCCATGCACAATTGGCAGTTATGTTTTTGCTAATGCTTTGTGTGACTTGGGAGCTAGTATCGACTTGATGCCTTTGGCAATCTACACAAAACTAGGCATTGGCAGAGCTAGACTGACCTCAATGTTGCTGCAACTAGCTGATCGCACAGTCAAAAGACCGACTGGAATTCTGGATGATGTACTTGTCCAAGTGAGGAAGTTTGTATTTCCTGCTGACTTCGTTATTCTTGAATGTCAAGTGGATGAAGAAATACCAATAATTTTGGGGAGGTCGTTCTTAGCCACTGGGAGAGCACTGATCGATTGTGAGACTGGTGAGCCGTTGAATAATGAAGAAATAATATTAAATGTTCAACAATCTATGAGGAGACTTGTTTTTAGAAGAACTTTGGAGGGAAGAACACAAAAGGGAGTAAGACGGAGAATCATCTACGAGTTTTTCATCTTCTTCTTCTTAATTCTATTGTTGGTTATGACTTTTTATATTGTAATCTTGTCTAGTAGTATGAGTAGCTAAACTCGTCGTCTAGGGTTGATGGAACCAATTGTTGGATGAAGTCTTGATTACGTTTTAATATAATAGAGCCGTTTTTACTCTATAATTGTTCAACTATGCGTTATCTTGTGATTAATTGAAAGGGCCCTTGATTAATCGTGTCTAGTTATCTTATGTTGCTTGAGAAAGAACACTTGATTAGATTGTTGTTGAACAACTCCACTTTCGGGTAATTTAAGAGAATAATTACTTGAATTTAAAACCGGGGTTAGAGATACCGAAGCTTTGGTGTGATATTTATGAGTTGTACAGAATGTCAACTAGAGTAGTTCGAGAGAATGCTTCTAGTAAATTATCGTAATTGATTGAGAGATAATTGCGGTAAACAAGAATTCATCATCTTTATAGAGTGTTACGGCGAGATTATAGCTAACGTGGCAGGAATTAATCCGACAATTGGGAAATCAATAACCCTAGATCCTTTTACCGCTTGCTTATTGATAGTTTTTATTGTCATCTTTCCTTGGTTAAATAATTTCTGTTAATTATCAAATAAAATCGTGCATCTGAAAATTGTCTGAGCTTATCATTAGAGTTACTAAAAGTGTAGTAAATAGGTTAGTTCCCTGTGGGATTCGACTCCGGACTCTTGAACCGGATTATATTTGCAACGACCGCTTAGTCCTTTTTGTAAGGCGTAGTTGGGCGTGAAAATTTCGTGCCTGGTGATGAACACACCATTTTTCTTTTGTGGGTCTCGATACGAAAGGTTCCCAGCCTCGGTTTCGATCTCATGAGTCCGTGCCTTTCTTCATTTTCTTTGCCGGGATATCGGGGTATGCTCTATCCCTGATTTTGCCTGTATAAAATATGAAGAGAGTAAAAAGTACTCTAGTAGTAGTATTGGATGTTGTTTCAGTTTGAGCTTCTTGCTATTTGCCTTTCAAGTCATAGGGCAAAAATAGCTCCCCCAACCGCCACCCTTGTATCATGGAGGCTTCAAATGTAGTCAATCCTGTTGAAAGATAAGCTAAGAAAAAAGACCTTTTAGATATATTAAGCCATCATATTGTCTAACTGATACTCTACACACTAGTATCTACACGGTTTTGACAGTTAATAAAATTTCCAACTGCCCACCCTTTGCTAGGAATGAAATAAATCGAGCTTTATTTGTGCCCTGTTTGACTGTAAATCTTGGGAGATGAACAACAATGGTGGAGCTCAAGTTTGAGCTCCAATGGTGAAGCCCTAGAAGTTTCTCGAAGGAAAGAGAGAATGAGAGAAAGTGGGAGCAGAAAATAATTTTCTGATTAACTAAAAATAATATCTGTAGAAAGTGTATATATATACATATATATACATGTACCCTACACGTGACTCACAAGTGAGTGCACTAACAAAGAAGTTAACTAACTAACTCACTTAACTATGGTTACACATATAATTAAAACAATATCTCAATACTCAGTACCCCCCCCCCCAAGTTGAAAGTGAGGGTGTCACTGCCAAGTTGCTCATAACTGTAGCATGCTTGACTCCAGTGAGAGCCTTGGTTAGGACATCAGCTAGCTGGCAATCAGTTCCAACATGATGAAGGGATAATAGGCCTTCTTGTAGCTTATCTCTCACAAAGTGGCAATCGACCTCAATGTGTTTGGTGCCCTCATGAAACACAGGATTACGAGCAATGTGTAGAGCTGATTGGCTATCACAGAACGCTGGGACAGGTTTAGGGAACTGGACTGTCAGCTCATCAAACAACCTACACAACGAAGTAAGCTCACCAACAACATTTCTTAGGGCTCTATATTCAGCTTCAGTAGAGGAGAGGGATATGGTAGCCTGTTTCTTAGACTTCCAGCCGATAGGACTATCACCAAGGAGCACCAGATACCCAGTAAAAGACTTCCTAGAATCTGGGCAAGCTGCCCAATCAGAATCACAATACCCTTTAACAGAACAATCAGAGCTAGCAGACATGAAAACCCCAAGGGTAGGATCAGTCTTCAAATATCTAAGCAAGTGATAAGCAGCCTCTAAGTGAGGTTCCCTGGGGTCTTGCATAAATTGACTAAGGTGTTGCACACTATATGCAATGTCAAGGCTCGTATTAGTCAGGAATTCAATTTACCTATTAGAGTCCTATAGAGAGAAGGATCTGTCAGAGGCATNGTTTCTTCCTTCTCATCATCTTCCTTTGCCTTTGATCACCACGATGGGAAGCTTTCTATCTCAAGGGCTGTTTGGAGGAGTTCCTTCGGATTGCGTCATGGCCTTTTGCTGGGGCCTCCTTCGTTGGATATAAACATGTTGTTCCGATATTGCCGTTTGCCCCGAGGTAGTGATGGAACGGGGAGCAGGGTTTCCTTCCTATGTGGATAGTCATTCGGGTATTTACCGCTGCTCAAAAGGGGGCTCGGGTAATGATTACATCATCAACATAGACAGCAACAAAGATAGCAGAGGAGTCAGTCTTTTTGTAAAACAGGGAATAATCATTAAGGGAGTGAACATATCATTTGGAACACAGAGCCTCAGCTAGTTTAGCATACCACTATCGACTGGCCTGTTTCAAGCCATATAGTGATTTGTTCAACTTACACACTAGCCCAGGTTTATCAACTAATAAGCCAGGGGGTAGATCCATATACACTTCCTCATGGAGATCTCCATAAAGGAAGGCATTATTCACATCAAGTTGGAAAATCCCCCAATGTTTCTTTATTGCAGTTGCTATGAGTGCCCTGATGGTCGTCATTTTCACAACTGGGGAAAAGGTCTCAGTATAGTCAAACCAGCTTGCTGAGTATACCCTTTCACCACCAATCTGGCCTTGAATCTCTCAACACTACCATCACCTTTGTGCTTGACTTTATATACCCATCTACAGCCTATTGACCTCTTGCCTGTAGGTAAGGGAACTAAGTCCCAGGTCTGACAAGCATGAAGGGCCTCAAATTCTAATGCCATGGCTGCTTGCCAAGCTGGATCTAAAAATGCTTCCTCATAAGAATTTGGCTCATTGTCATGGCAAATACTTTCCATAAGATGCTGACTATTAGGAACCAGAGAGGGGAAGAAAACATGGTGGTGCCTAGAAAAAAGAGCACTAAGGGAAAAAAGGGAATCTGGAGAGGATGTGGGCACAGAAGGTGTTGAGGCAGGTACAGGATGTGTATCAGGGTGCAAGTTAGGCATGGAACACACATAATCTTTCAAATGCATTGGTAGGTGATGTTCTCTAGTAGATCTCCTAGGTATTTGGTTGACTTCATGGAAAAATGGTGAAGGTGAAGGAACAACCTATGATGGATTACAGGGAGAATTCACAGATGAATTGTTTATAGGTGAGGCTATAGAGGGGACATCAACATTATTTGTTGATGATTGAGACGTGTGAGTATCAGAATAGTTATGGATATCAGAATGTACCTCAGTGAGTGGTATATCCTGTGTAAAAGAAGTAGGATCAAGAACTGGAAGAAAGTGAGGAGAAGAATCAGATACAATAGCAAAGGGGAAAATATGCTCATGAAAGGTCACATCCCTGGAAATATGAATCTTCTTAGTGGCCAAATTGAGAACTTTGTACCCTTTTATCTCATAAGGATATCCCACAAAGACATGGGGAGTGGTTCTAGCTTCAAATTTATCTCTATGAATCTTGGGTATAGTGGAAAACATAGGCAACCAAAGCTTCTGAGGTGAGAATAGGTTGGTTTTTTATTATAGAGGACTTCAATTGGGCATTTGTTTTTCAGATAAGTAGTGGGGAGTCTATTGATAATATGAGTGGCAGCCAAAACACACTCACCCTAATATTGTAAGGGTATTTTGGACTGGAAAAGGAGTGCCCTGGCAGTATCCAAAATGTACCTATGTTTTCTTTCCACGACCCCATTTTGTTGAGGAGTGTAGGGACATGTTCTTTGATGAAAAATCCCTTTTGACTGAAGAAAAAATGAGGTTTCTGCATTTACAAACTCTGAACCATTGTCTGACCTAATGTACTATATATTTGTTTTGAAGTAAGTTTCAACTAATGATATAAAGCCTTTGATAACATGCAATGTATTGCTCTTATTAGTTAAGAGGTGAGTCCAGGTCGCCCTACTATTGTCATCTACTAGGGTGAGAAAGTATTTATAGTTGTCATGAGTGGCCACACTGTAGGGTAGGGTGAGAAAGTATTTATAGTTTTCATGAGTGGCCACACTGTAGGGTCCCCAGAGGTCCATATGAAGAAGCTCAAAAACAGAGGTTGTGGTACTGGTTCATTGAGGGAAAGCTAGTCTGGGTTGCCTGTCCATGGGACAAATAGTGCAGAGAAAAGGTTGCTTAGTTGAGAATTGAACAGGAATGGAGGATATCTCTCTCATCTTGACAAAAGGGACATGTCCCAATCTATAATGCCACAGTAAGTCAACTTGATTCATATTAGACAAGAAAGATTGTAATGAAATGCACTGAGTTTTATTACCATGGAACTATTTACAATTGAGTGTGAATTGCAAGTGGAAACATTTACAGGTGAATCAGAATGTTGGCAGTGCAAGCTATTTACATCAAGGTTTTAGACAAAACAGAATCTGGAAGAAGTAAAGAGACAGGTGAAGTTGAGCAAGAGTTCTTTGAGCAGGAGTTCTTCAGACAACTTGAACACAGGAGGTACAAACCATCCTTGACTTTACCGATCTCCAGAGGCCTCTTCATTGAAGGGCCTGGAGTAGACATAGAATGTCAGACAAAGCTACTAGACCTTTAAACTGAGAGGCTAAAGAATTTATTGAAATAAGGTTTTATTTGAAAGAAGGAACATAGAGGACTCTCTGTAATATAATATTTGGTGCAAGGGTAACTGTTCCAATTTCAGTGACTTTAACTCAATAGCCATTTGGTAAAGTGATTAACATAGGATACACTAAAGTTTTAATGTGAGTAAGCAAAGATTTGTTGAAGGTCATATGGTTAGAAGCCCCTGAGTCTAGAATCCAAATGTCAGCTCTTGACTTAAAGCATTTACATGATAACAGTCCAAAGTCAACAGAGAGAACAGATATAGAACAAGCGAAAATACGTGCAAAATTCGCATTTCCACCATTAGTGTTGTTGTCTGGGTTATCTCCAGCAGAACTAGTCTGAAAATGGTGGAGTAGAGTCACCAATTGGCCATATTGCTCTTTTGTAAGACTGACATTAGATTTGTTCCTTTGGGGCTGCATTTCCTCACCATTCACAGGAAAAGTACTAACTGGAGTGCTATGCACATTTGCTGCAGTTCTTTTGACTTTATTATACTTAGGGTTGTGATTGAAATTTTGAGGATAACCGTGGAGCTTGAAGCATTTGTCTTTGGTATGACCAGCACGCTTGCAGTAATCACAAAAAGGACGAGGTCTACTAGTAAAGGAGTAGTTATTTGGAGAGTAATTTGTCCTGAAATTATTGGTATGCATAGGTGCCCTGTTCAGGCTACTATGTGAAGGGACATTGGCATTTAGAGAGACAAATTCCATCACGAGCTGACTTTGCGGTTTGACTTCTCTTTATTTTTCCTCCTGAATGAGCAGAGAAAAAGCATGTGCCATGGATGGTAAGGGATTCATCATAAGTATACTGCCCCGCACTGTGGTGTATACCTTGTTCAATCCCATAAGGAATTGGATGAACCTCCTGTCTTGCTCAGATTTGTGCATATTTTCCTTAGCTCCACATGTATATTGGCAAGTGCACTGTGATTTGGCACTTATCATGTTCAATTCCTCCCAAAGTTTCTTCATTTTCGTATAATATCCAGTAATATCAAGCACACCTTGAGTTAAGTCATTAATTTCCTTTTGGATTTGGTACAATTTGGTACCATTCGTCTGGTCGTACCTGTCCTCTAACTCTCTCCACAACTCGAAGGCATTACTAGCATATTCGACACTATCAGCAATGTCTTTGCACGGACAATTCAGAATCCAAGAGGTTACCATATCATCGCACCTCTCCCATTTATGAAATTGTGAAGAATCTAGGTCTGGTCGTTTGTATTCTCCAGTAATAAATCCTATCTTATTTTTGACTGATAGAGCCCTAAGAACACTTCTCCTCCAGGATCTGTACCCAATGTCGCTGAACGGAGCTGTGACCAACATTGCACCAGGGTTATCTGGCGGGTGCATATATAAATGGCAACTCAAATTGACTCCAGGGTCGACGCCGCCGACGGGAGTAGAACTGCCCGGCTCAACTTCAGTTTCATTGTTTGGATCAAGGAGGGCCATGAGAAACTGTGTCAATTTGTTAAAATTGAAGTA